CCCCCAGTCCCGAGCCCCAGGCCGGGGCGAGGCCCGTTCCAGCGCCTCCTTCCCGCTGAGCCGCGGGCGGGCGGCGCAGGCCCGGGGGGAGGGGGCGCCGCGGCTGGCTGCAGTCCCCCCTGCTGCCGCGCTCCGCGCCCAGCCCGACCGCTTCTGCCCTGCTGCCGCGCGGGAGCCCGGGCACCCGAAGCTGGGGGCGCGGCCGCGCTCGCCTCGCGGGGCCGGGAGCGGACAGGCCCTGCCCTGAAGGGGTGAAGCGGAGGGGAACGTGGGAGGCGGATCCGGCCCCGGCGGCCGCCCGGCGTCTCAACCCAACGCCCCCTCCCCGCACGCAGCCCCAGGCGGACCCAGGCCCCTGCCCATGAGGGGTACCCCCGGCTCGGAAGAGTTCCGGTGGCAGGGAGCAGTTCCAGGCAGCGGCGCCGGAGGCAGAGGAAGAAGAGAGAGTGGTCAGCTTGGGCGGCTCGGACCCTCCCCACAGCTTTTGAAGACCGGGGACGCCCCAAAGTGTACGCTTGTCACAGCCGTTCCGCCTGCTGGGACCCCTGCTTGGACGCTTTGCACCTCCTAGGTGGCGGCGCCACCGCCGTGCCACCCGGCTCTTCCGCGATCTCTCTCTTCCTAGCGGCAGTCACGGCCAAGGTAAGAGCCCGGGCGTGCCCGAGAGCCACCGCGGGGGCGCCCTGGTGAGCGGCGCTGGACAAGTTCTCCGAACCTGTAGCTGGTACCCCCGATACTCAGGATTGTGACGGAGAGGGAGGGAGTGTGTGGGCACACCTTCTGCTTCCTGGGCCGGGAGCCCTGGAGAGGCTGGAGGTGGAAGTCCTCGAAACTCTTGTCCCCAGAACCCGTCCCAGAGCTTGCCCGGCTACTAGGCACACAGGCTGCTCACTGGGAGCAAGCAGAGAGTTTCTCGTTAGCACCAGGAGGTGATGTGCCCGCACCCCGTCACCGCTCCCCACCTCCACACTCCGCCACACCTGTGCTTTGGGGTAACCTGTTGTGTTTGGAGCGGTCTGTCTCTCTTGGGCGATCCCCACCTGCTTTTCCTGGCGTCATGCTGCGAAGAACTTTTTCTTTGCGCCTTGTTGCAGCGTGGAGCCGGATTTGGGGTGTGCAGCCACAGTTGCGAGTAGGACAGAGTGCTTGGGTGGCAGCGAGCTCTGTAGAGAGGAAACCCAACCACAGTCACTTCTAGGAGACAAAGCTGCTTGTAATGAGTGATGGATCAATATATAGCGACCCAGACATTCTTGTGAATATCACTGTTTCTGAAGTGTGGAGTGACTGACTCCAAACTTGGTGCCTCCTTTGGCTATTTTGTACATTGTCTTCTTACCTTCTTTACATTTTCCTTTAAGGAACCTCAGTTCTACAAAGCCTGCTGGTGCCTGTTTGAAATTTATTAAACCTATGAGCTTCCCCTGGAACCATCTGATTTTAAATGGGTCACTTCGGAGGGAACAGATTGTCTCTCATACATTGAATCCTTCCCCCCTGGGTGACCCTATTTAATGGGGATGGATTTTTTTTTGTCCCTGAGCTGACAGTCCTCGGTTGGGCAGATTTCTGCTGAAATCGGAACCCGCGAATTTTGTCCCTCAGTCCATTAAAAGGATCTCCTGAGGGAGCAAAATAGCAGCTTACATTTTCTGTGAATGTCACAGGAAGTTTGACATAGTCTTATGTAAGTGCCCCAGGAGAGACCTCAGGCTCCTGTTTCTTTCGTGGGGGGCTGCGGGAGGGGGGCAGCTGGGCCTTCACCTCACCTAAATACAGATGCCAGCCCTCTGACACAGGTGGAACTCAGAGAGCTTATTCTCTCATGGAGGCAGTTACCCAGGTTGATTTTCCTTCTCAGCTGTCCCGGCTTCCCATATCAGGAGTCAGCTTTGATAGGCTTAAGATAAAGGAAGGTTCTAAATTAGGAAAAGGATGGAGTGCTGGTTTCTTTTCTCATCTCTCACAAATGGGCGACATGAATGAATTACCCATAAGGCATGCTGAGTCCTCACCGGGGATGAAAAGAAAAACAACCTCATGGCTTGAAGGTTTCACACATCTCTTAGTGTACCTTTATTTTTCAAGAGGACTTCACCTTAGTGAAAATTGCTTGAGGAGAACACACATTTATCGAGCCTGGCCCTGTTAATTCCATCCCGGGAAGAAGACTAACTGGGACAGAGAGGCAAAAGTCATCAAGATTTAGATCTTAGTGGATTTTCAGGAGTGGAGGGGAAAGGAAATAAATCTCCTAGGAGGATAGAGAGGTTTTTAAAGAAAAGATCCATCACTGTGGAGTGGGCTGAAGTTGCTAACAAGTGTGGGCCATCTTTGCTTAATGAAGGGGGCTGGGTTGTGGGTTAACTTTTCGGTGTGAGAAAATGTAGATTCCTTTGCCTTTTAAACCATAACTGGAAGTGCCTTGGAAATGACATGAAAGATTTTCATCTCATCGTAACTCTGGGGAGTGCTTCCATCTCTCTGAAGGGAGGCGAGGTTTGGTTCTGGGTTCCTAAGCTGTCTTTTACATTGGATGCCGAATGCAGGAATGTCTCCATCTGCAGCCACCTACAGTGGCAGGACACTAGGGGGGACTAGTTTTCTATTCCACAACTGATGAAGGAAACACAAGGACTGACCTTTGTTACAAAAAAACAGTGGTTTATTTTTAGGGCTCATGGACTAACTTTTGGATACCCAGTGCGTGCGTGCATGCCCTAATGAGTGGATTCCCGATGCTTAGGCCATGGGCCTGCTCACGTCTAAAGCCTCATTTGGACAACTCAGGAGAGGTTAACTGCAAAGTGCTACGTGCGACTCTGAAAAACTCATTTATAATCTCTAAATATATGAAAACTATCGATTTTGGGGAGACAGACCTTCCTGCAAACTCCATCCTGTGGGCAATTAGATCACGCTAACTTTAAGTTCCTTGAGGGTTTGTAATCAAACTCCCCTTTTTGGTTTCTGGAAAGCGCCTCTCCATCAGTCTTCATAAAATCATGCTTCCTGTTTTAGATGGAGTCTAGAGTCGATTCCATTAAACTCAAAATTTCTCACCATCATTCTCTTAAATGTACATACCTTGTATTTACAGTTGACCTTTGAACAACATGGGTTTGAATTACACGGGTTCCCTTATTTGCATATATTTTTTTCAATATATATAGTTGGATTCAGTAAACCCTTGATGGAAAACGGTATTTTCACATTCCCAATTGCTGATTCCCAACCAAGGATCAAAAAATACTATTTTTAATCCACAGTGAGTTGAATCCGCGGATGCGAACTGCAGACTGTAGAGTCAAAAGTTATGATTTTCGACTGCATGGGCATGGGCACCCCTAAACCCAGTGTTGTTTTCAAGGGTCAACTGTGTACAGATGTACCGTAACATTTGATAATGTAGTTGTACTTTCACATGCTCTCTGCGCTTCTAACAGTATTAAATCATTAGTGTCCAGGATTGCATTTTTAACAGTATTAAATTATTAGTGTCTAGGTTTCTTCCAGCGGAATTGGAAGATAATTCTATTTTGCTGAAGAACAAAGCCTCGGCTCACCCAGGCTCACCTTATCCACAGCAGCCAAGTCTTATCAAAGCTGACTCCACAGGTGGGCAGACGGGACAGGTGAGAGCTAGCGTCCAAAAGGAGACGACTCAGTTGAGAATACTGGCATGAAAAAAGGGCAAACGTTGCCAAGATTTAGGTCTTGCTGGACTCTCAAACACCCAGCTCAGCATACAGAATTAGCGTCCGTCTATGAGCCTGTGATCCTGCACGAGTTATTATATTTCCCTGAACTCGGGGGTCCGGTAGATGGTGTTTGCGATCCTTTACCCATATGTATAGTGCCTGTTTAGGTAGTTCGAGGGTAGCTATTGTTGTGGCCTAGGGAAAATGGTCAGCATAAAGCTTTATTTCTGCTATTAAGGCTTTATAGATTGATTCTCACAGGCGCAATCTAGCCACGGGGCAAGAGATTGTAACAGGAAAACACTATTAAATTTGCCATTGAGCATCAACTAGTGGAAACTGGTCCTGAAGAAGATATATACCCCGGTCCTAAGGCATAAATGAAGTCTCGTGAATTTCAGGGCAGCCAGATGGCAGAGGCAGAGGAAGAAGTTGAGGCGGGATAGGGCCTTCCTCAGGGCCTGAGAGCTCCAAGACTCGCTGCTGCTGACACACCTTTGCGGTATTGTCACCTCCCAGGATCTGTTGAGGAGATTTTGCCGCTCCACTCGCGCATTTGGCATTGAGAGGTACTCAGTCCTCCTCTGACCACACTGCCGTTTGCAGAGTAGTAGGCAGCAGCCAGTTCAGTGAAGGCTTAATTAAATGGTGTTTAGAAGGCTCTTCTTCTAACGTAACGGATAATAATTGAACACCTATTCGGTGGCAGACAGCATGCTCTGCATGGAGGCTGCGGACCTTCCACGTTTAGCTGATCGTCATCTGGGGGAGGCAGACATTGCACCATTGCACCATTTCTACAAGCTGAGCACCGTTGTACAAATTTGTTCAAAGGATGAGTTTGAGATTGGCAGGACAGGAGAACGAAAAGGAAGAACCACATGGGAACCTGAACGTATGCAGTGTGCGTGGAGAAGAGTCAGTTGTTAGTGTGGCTGGAAGATGGACTGTTCTAGAAGAGGGAAGCTTGGTGTTAGAAGGGAAATAATTTCATAGGATTCTAGCTTCATGCTCTGTGTATTCAAACGGTGGCGAGAGCAGTTGCTGGATAAGATCCAGGGGTACTAGTTGATCATCCCCCATTGTTATTTAAAACAGAAAAAGAAAATTACTTTTTTGTCCTTTATTCGTCTACCTATAAAATTTTGCCTATTGTTTTTTTTTGTTTGTTTGTTTGTTTTGTTTTTAACAAATTATTAGCGATGCAGAAAAAGAGTCCCTTATCAGCCATGAGTCTGCCCTCTTGTGTATATGAATTACATCTGGGGTTTCATTATGTGATTATGCAGCCGTGGGAGCAGTGACAATGTGACGTGAGAAATGATATACCGTGGGGGAGAAAATCCTTCTCTGTGAGAACAAATTCCATCTTGTCAGATGTGTTCTGGGTAGAGTTATGGTAGTGTTTAACACTTGGACAAGGTTCCTGTATTTGAATCACTTTGGCTCTGGCCTCAACTTTTTTTTTTGCTATTGGAAAAGTAAGAGTTTTATAATATTGAGGGTAGAGGGTAGGCACACGCCATGTGTTTTGTGGAATTGAGGAAACTATGTAAGCGAGGAAAAAAGCAACAGCGTAACCACCAGAAGGTATTGGAGAGAATGGAAAATCACAGTTGCAGCTGCAATCTCCAGGGCCAAAGATATTTAGGTTTTTAGAAACAGAAGCCTGGACAGTGGCGGTAAAAGAGGCCTTGTGTGTGTGTGTGTGTGTGTGTGTGTGTGTGTGTGTGTGTGTGTGTTGCTTTTACTGTTCTTCCCTGTGTTGAGTGGGAGGAGAGGGAGTTTAAGTGAAATTGGGAGATCTAGGTTCTAGTGTTGCATCATTCTATGCTAACTTGCTGTGTGACTTTACAATACTCGTTGACCTCTCAGAGCTTCAGGCCAGTCTCTATACATAAATGAGTTTTTGTTTTGTAACTAGGAATTTAGAGGGCAAGA